GTTTGTCGTCGTAGGTATGAAAAAACGATAAAACCATTCGAGATATTGGAACAAGAGTATAAATTGTTGAAGGAACGATTGTCAAAATTGGACAGTCCTGTTGTATATTGTCACAATGACCTTTTGCTTGCAAATATTCTTTACGATAAGAGGGATAAATCTGTTGTATTCATTGACTTCGAGTACACAGCTTTCAATTATCAGGCATTTGATATAGCTAATCATTTTGCTGAATTCGCCGGTACTTGCATTATTGACTATTTATTTATTTATTGACGTTTAGTCACAAATTTTCATGGAAATAATTGCCTTAGGTGTTGAAAATATAGACTATTCACATTATCCAGATGAAGCTCTCCAGAGATCATGGCTCAGGATGTATCTTCAAGTTTACAACGAGTGCAGCAATGTCTCTGAGGATGATGTAACGAAAGTTCATAAACAGGTGGAAAAATTTGTACTGGTCGCCCATTTTTTATGGGGCTGCTGGGCAATAGTGCAGTATAACAATTCATCGATCGATTTCGATTTCTTAAAGTTAGTTGATCCCAAGATTTACATTTGATGATCCAGTCAATGTTTTTCCATAATTAAATAATTGTATTTTTCACTCAGATTTTCTGCAGAGCGATTCAACGAATACTTTAGGCGGAAACAAGTCCTGGACGAGAGCTAGAAGAATTAATATTCTCTGGAATATTGAAACAATTTCCGAGGCATTGGGCCGCGACGACCCGTAGTATTTTAAAAAATAATTCTCATTCCTGTGAAACAATATTTGCATTTACATTTGGAATGAATATCAATTGATGATAACTTATTCATCAATGAGAGTTAAGAAGCTGGTCTTTATCAATTTTATACGTCATCAAGGCGAGAATTTGTTATATTGTTGTACCAATGTTGTAAATATAAATTTTATCAAACATCGTTATAATGCTGAGTTGTAAGACAAAATTGTCAGTGAATTATGCATTTAATTTCCATTCAATTTTTTTCATTGAAAACTAACCTAGTCTTGTCATCAGCCAATTAGAATATTCAATGATAAATTCTTGGAACAATAACCATGTAACGCAGTTAATTGCAGAAAATCCAATGGTAATTTAAGAATAGATTTTTAAAAATGAATTATTGGGAAATTTATCAGCTAAAAAAATTATGTAAACCAATAAAAATTGCGCATTTGAACTATTCAGTATGTTTTTGTCCTCTCACTACACGCACGATCTAATAAACGACTGCTCATAAATCAGTGTTTATTTTTAGCGCACCAAACACACAGCGAAGATTTTGGGATATTTTTTTTCTATTTTTGTGTGAAAAAAGTCAACCAAGTGGATCCATATAAACAATAAAAACTCATAAAAAATGTCGTTCAATCAGTGAATCACACTAAACAATCTGAAATATCGAAAATTACCCGAAACTTTCTTGTCTTTCAAAATCAACAATTGGAAAGGAGTGGATCGGAGGCATCTGCATCATTAAAAACTTCACCTTGAAAAACTTGAATTGTACAAAGTGACAAATTGCAATAATCAGTGATCACATAATTATTTCACGAACCCAGGGGGAATATTAATAGACTCAATAGTGGTCAGTCAACAATTCTTCTATTTTTCATTGAGATAAGCTCATTGACATGACTTACGTTCTAATATCTCCAACGAATGACTAAAAAAAAATAAATAGCAAAATCGTGCCGTTGAACGTTTATTGCCTTTTTAAAAGTGGTAAATTCCGGGAAAGAAAAAATTATCAGTTGTGGCGAGTATTGAATTAGCCAGACGTAGTGATACTTTTTTCATCAGTTATCAGCTTGGGGAATTTTGTGATAGATACACAAAACATCTAGATATATATCGAAAAGGTTCTCACGTTTACCGGTATAGTATCGTGGTACACCTTGATTTTTGTGTTTAACTTAATCAACGATTTGTAAAAAAGAATGTTCTTCTCTCAACCAACCTCAAACCAACCTTAACCATTTGCTAACGATCCAGAAACAACTCCAAATCCCTTTGTAAATTTTTCACAGTCCCTTCGACAATTCTGCATCGCAACGAATTAGTGTATTCTATTTGTACCTCTGTTATTGAATTACCAGTTATTTTTAATCGAATTTGACATTGTAAAATTTGCGAAAGTCACTTGAAACTTTTACGTGATTTTCATCATGTATATAACGTGCAAGTGTCTTAATGTCTCAATCAAAACAAGGGGAAATCAGCTGGGGGATTTCACACAGGAAATTCATGACTTTGAGAGGGCTGATCCATTCTTCCAGCAAGTGAGGCTTTTTCACCTTTTTTTTTGGCCGTTTTCATTTTTTATTCGTGATTGCATTTTGGTTCTCCCACAGAATTTGGCCACTGCAACAGAGCTGGAGGGAATTAGCAAGGAACAATCGGGTCTCGTTGAAGGCAGAAATGTCGGCTCTTGGGTGGTGAATCGTTGTCTAAATTGTTCTGTATATACACATGCTGTTCACAGAGAGCATGGGGCTGCTTTGGTTGTGATTAACACTAACATGGTGGTGAGTATATAATTATTTATATTTTTTCCCCATAAGACAACGATTAATGTTCACTGTTCGATTATTGTCACTCCAGATGTCTTCCGAGGAGATCGAGAAATTAAAAACTAGTCCAAACTACAGTTCAATATTCAGGGTAGTAATAGATCATGGTTTGGATGATGGTGATCTCCTCGAAGCACCAACTAAATATTCCGTCTCCCAATTGTCGAGCAATCTACAATTGGCACTGACAAATCTCCAGCAGCAATTGGAGCAGGTTGTTCACAGGAAAGCAGCGGAGACTGAAGAGAAAATTCGCACTTTGACAGCTGAACAGCACCAGCTACTGGAGCAATTTCGAGAACAAGCTCACACGGAGCATCGACTATTGGCGAGAATAATCTGTGATCAGCAAAAAAACAAATCAACAAACGGTGTAAATTCCAATGTTCCAATGACTGAAAATCCCGCAGCTAATTCGATTACATCTCCCTTAAAATTTAATAGCCCGAGATCCAATGTTTTATCCAAGTCTGGGATGGGAGGAGATAACATTCGACATCAGGCAGCTACTAAACACCCAACCCAAATTCACTTGGTAAATCATCACTTCCTTTTGATGTAACAA